TTGTACATCTTGACTGGTAAATATTTGGTAAATAAAAAGGTTTAGATATGAATTGTCTGAATTGCTACGTAAGAATTCAGTAGGTTCCGAGCCTTTTGCATTTGTGGGCCCCACTCACGAGTGTACGACGTTTGTCTCGCTCCGGGGTTTGGGGCTTGACAAATATGTAGATAGTTGAGCTCAAACAAGCGCCCCACCTTGCGACTAGTTCCAAGAAGTTGTCCTGTCCGTTGGTCCTGCACACGACAACCATAAGCATAAAATGTTACTTCAAGACCAAGATCACATAATTGACTGACAAATAGAAGATTATAACTAAGTTTTGGAACTAAAACGGCATTTGGTAAAGTCAATCACTTTGTAGAAACATTGCCAATGTGACTAACATTCATAGGGGAACCATCAGCAAAATAAATATCAGGAAATGAATTATTAGGTGACATTGAAGAAAAATGAGCAGTAATTGAAGACATATGGTTACAACAACCAGAATCGAAATACCAAGGTTTGGTACCCGAAGTAGTAGATAAGGCAGTAGGAGCATTAAAAAGATTTAATATCACATGTTTTAAAGATTCAAGGTTGACATTAGATTGTTCTATCACTTCTTTGGCAACCATAGCAGTAGCAGGATCAGTTACAATCCTTTCAAAACTCGTCATATAAACTCACAATACTGAAAAACTCTAAAAATATGAAGAAATAAATGCCAAGATCGAAATAACAAACCAACAAAATACCTCAGAAAGGGCTTGAGAATCGAGGATAAACAATCCAATCTGTAAGAGAAGAGATCCTAACAACAAAGTTTCAGATCTGGAATGGAATTGAAAATCCAACCCCAAAAAAAACCCAACAGCGATGATAAGAGAGAAGAACTTAGAGCTTATAGCTCTGATACCATGTTAGAAAAACAAAAAAGAAGAATAATTTGAAGAAAGGTTTATTGCTTTTCTTGAATCATTCTGTCTGTACAATGACCTATATATAGGTGTTTACAAAAAAAATATTCTAAGGTATAAAATATATAAAGAGAATATTCTAAAGTATAAAATATTTACAATAATTCTAAACATAATTGTGTTCACATCTGAATAACAACAAATTCGTTCTTTCTCTCTTGCTGTGAATTACGAATTCGATCTACAATTTCTCCATTTTATACCATAGAAACGCGTCTTTAAATGGCAAAATACATGAAGCAAAATCTGTATATATAAATGGATTTTACGTTCCTTTTTTGGGATGATAGCTAAATTACTCACTCCATTCAATTTTGGCCATTTTAATTTTACTTTGGGTTCTTCTAACTGTGACTTAAGAACACTTTTTTGGTATTAATTGTTATTAAAAAAAATATTTAATATTTATTTAATCAATCATTTAATTAAAACAATACATGTAACATTGGTGATAAAATTAATGTCAGTTTTGTTATTTTCTATATTAATTAATATAAAAAAAAGTGTATCCATTATAATCGTAACTTGTGCCTTAAGAAGAAGGTCTGCCAACCTAGTGACCCAGCAGCTTAATGTAAACTTTCTTCATCATGGCAAGGGTTCGATCTCCCTCCCCACCCCCTCCCCCCAAACCACTTGCCTTAATCAAAAAAAAAAAAAAAAAAAAAAAAAAAAACTTGTGCCTTTTTCTTTTTTTTTTTGAAAGGCAAAAGATAATTATTGATTTGTAGTACAGGGGGTACTTCGAACCCTTTACATGATTTAAAACAGGCCAGCTATGGCCCCCTGCATCTTGAAATGGTGGGGCACTTTTTAAGCTGCCTTAGATTTACAATAACCTTGAGCTTCTTAAACTACCTGGGACGAATTTAGGCAGCTTACTGGGTTAAGGATCCAGTCTGAAATGGTGAAGAGGCTTCCTCTCCTTTTGCCTTTGATCCATTTAAACGACCTTACCTGGACCAGCTCCAAAATTCTGCCAGATTCTACCTTTATGCCTCTAAATAGCTTTTCATTTCTAGCTAGCCATACAGACCAAATAACAGAGAACCAAATGCATTCCCACCCCCGCTCACCTCTTTGAAATTGAAAATGAAGGGGTGCTGTTCAAACACCCTCCCACAATCTCTATCTAACACCTGCTTATTACCCCACCATCTATAGCAACTATTCCAAAGCCCTCACGCAATTTTGCAATGAATAAAGAGGTGATTGGAATCTTCACTTACTAAGCCACATAGAATGCACTTACAATCTGCAATGTCATGTATGATTCCCCTCTTCAACAGGTTCAACTTTGTTTGGATTTTATCTTGTAGCACTTTCCATGCAAAAACAGAGATTTTGCTCGGGGTGTACTCTTGCCATACTTTACTTAGTGTTGGTCTCTGCTGGACTCTCCTGTGATCCCTTATTAGGGCCTGGTATGCTGATTTTGTTGTGTATATTCCTTCCTTGCTATGGACCCATTCCCTTGCATCTGATTTTCCTCTTTTTATTTTGGTATCTTGGATTTCAAACTTGAGCGCCACCTCCTGTTGTTCCTCCCAACTAAACAGATTTCTTCTCCACTTCAATTCCTACTTCCATGAGTCATCCTGCCATTTTCCCATTTGGGATATCTTTTTATCTTTTCCTACAAAAATTAGGTAGAGTCTGGGAAACTTGTTAGCAAGACTCACTCCCCCACATCACTCATCCCACCAAAAGCTCGTACCTTTCCCGTCTCCCACTCTAATTTCTAAACCGTCTGCAAGCCACCCTTTGTTGTTTTCTTCCACATCACTTAACCTACAAATATCCCTCCACCATGATGACCCATAATTGAAACCCTCCCTCAGCCAATTGAAACTTGGTTCCCCTACCTTCCCGTACTTCTCAAGAATAACCTTACCCCAATGCCCTTTATCATCTCTCACTAGTCTCCCCCACCACTTGCCTAACAAGGCGAGGTTAAACTTCCTAAGATCCTTAACCCCCAAACCACCGAGTTGTTTTTCTTTACACACATTTTCCCATTTAACCCAGTTAATCCTTTTCCCCCCTTCAGCCCCACCCCACAAGAATTTCCTTCGAATTTTGTCAAGTAAAAGAATTGTATCTTTTGGGATCAAATACATCGACATTCCAAAAGACGGGGAGACTTGACAATACTGAGTTAATAAGCGTAATCCGACCCCCTAGCGATAAGTATCTGCCCTTTCATGTAGCTAGCTTCCTTTCAAATATTTCTACCAGTGGTTTCCAAAAAGCAGTCCTTTTGCAACTTCCTCCAACTGTGATTCCTAGGTACTTAATTGGCAAAGCACCTTTTTTGCAACACAACACCCAAGACATTTTGTTTAGCCAGTCATCCTCCACGCCAATACCCACTAGTTGGCTTTTATTGAAATTAATTTTAAGGCCCGAAACCAGTTCAAATGCTCTCAAGATTCCTTTCATTGCCCACACATTTTCTTCTGTAGCCTTACCAAACAGAATCGTGTCATTTGCATACTGTAAGTGTGAAATCTTAAAAATTATATTTCCCACCTCCACGCCTTTCAGCTTCCCCTTTCTAACATCCTCTAAAACCAGCCCATTTAGACCCTCTGCAATAATAAAAAACAGGAATGAAGATAAAGGGTCCCCCTGCCTTAGACCTCTTGACACTTTGAATTGCCTACTTGGACTACCATTAACTAAGATTGATACCAGGCTAGATCGTAAACATTCTTGGATCCACAACCTCCATTTCTCACAGAAACCCATCTTCTGCATCATGTAATCAAGAAAGGACCAGCTTACTTTATCATAAGCTTTCTCGAAGTCTATTTTAAACAAGAATGCTTTCTTCTTTTTCTTTTTTACTTCTTCAATCACCTCATTAGCTATAACTACTCCATCCATCAACTGTCTTCCCTTCAGGAAAGCCATCTGTTGCTCCCCATATATGTTCTCAAGCGCCTTCTTCAACTGATTGGCTAAAAGCTTAGCCAAGATTTTACACATCGCTCCAACAAGAGAAATAGGTCTATATTCCTCAATTCAAACTGGATTTTCTACTTTTGGCACTAGGACAGTAAAAGAAGTGTTTAGACCTCTCACCAATTTGCCATTTGCCTGGAATTCTTGCAAGAATCTCACCACATCAGCTTTAATTACATCCCATTTAGATTTGACAAACCTGAAATTGAAACCATCAGGGCCTGGAGCCTTTGAGCTGTCACATTCTCCTACTGCTGCCTTTATCTCCTCCTCACTAAAGGAAGAAATGAGGATGTCATTATCTTCCCTTGTGAGTTGCTTGAAACCCAGCCCATCGAGTCTTGGTTTATCCTTTTTCACCTCAGCATACAATTCTTCAAAATAGCAAGCAATTTCCTCTTTCATTCTGTTGGCATCCCTAGTTTGAACCCCTTTTATCTGTATGCTATTCATTTCCGTCCTTCTCCATCTGCCCTTCACACAGTTGTGAAAGAACCTAGTATTGGCATCCCCCTGAGCCACCCAAGCTTTCCTTGATTTCTGATGCTTCATGCTCTCCTTACTTTTCAAACTTTCCCAAATCTGAATGAACGCTTCTCTTCTCCTTTCGATTTCTTCCTTTGTTAGTTGTGTCTCCTCCCCCTTCATATCAATTTTGGCAATGTCGGAAGTAGCATTATTTATTCTGAGATCCAGTGCAGGAATCAAATTTTTCCTCCACTTCCTTAAAAATTCCTTGGTTGTCTTCAGCTTTTCTTTGAGTCGGAAGCCTGCCCAGCCTTGAATTTGGGTGTCATTCCACACTTCTTTAATTAGCTTACTATATCCTTCTTGTTCTAGCCAAGAATCAAAGAATCTAAATGGCTTTGGCCCCCACTCAATGACCTGGTGTTTTAGCAAAATTAGACAGTGATCAGACACAGTCCTTCTCAAACCCCATTGCCTGGCCTCTCCCCACTTCGACAGCCACCCTTCTGAGAGTAAGAATCAATCGATTCTGCTCATGCAATTGCCACTTGCTTGGTACCATGTGAACTTCCTACCCACCAACGAGATGTCAGCCAAATTCATGACTTGGATAAAATTGTCGAATTCTCTCATATCTCTGGTCACACTTGAGCTCCCCTTTCTTTCCTCTGCCTTTCTAGTAGTGTTAAAGTCACCCATAATGCAGATTTTTTCTCCCCCATTCTCAATTATACTTCTTAACTCTACCCAGAGAGTTCTCTTATCAGGTACATGACATGGAGAGTAAACTTTAATCATTATAATTTGTTTATTATCAGGGCACCACAACCCTTCTATACCTATGAAGTGTTCTCCCTCCAAAATTCTTGTGGCTCTAATTACTTTGGAATTCTAGAAGCAAGCTATTCCTCCCGACATACCCACCGCATCCTTGGCTACCCATTCCACCTCATCTGTGCCCCACACTGATCTGCTAATTCTAATGTCTATCCCTCCCAACTTAGTTTCTTATATTGCTAGAAAATCCACCTTTTCCTTGTTAACTAACTCCCTCAAGTGTCTTTTCTTCCCTACCCCACCCATTCCTCTGATGTTGTAAGTTAAGACATTCATAATTCAACAATACTAACCTTCAGATCCTTACTCACTGACTTCAGGATCTCCGATTCCTTTGCCTCTCTGTCTCGTTTCTCCATTCCTTCAAGGCTCCTGAGAGTCTCAACCTCATCCTTTGCAGTAACCCCAATTTGCTTCGCGAAGTCCCATAGCTCTTCTGCTATTCTTCGGCTGGGATGCTCCTTTATCAACCTGTTACAATTTTCAATCCCGCTATCTCCAACAGACCCTCCCACCACAGAATAGCTTGTGTTCGGCATAAAGCTCGGCATCTCTTGTCTCGGAGCATTTTTTGATCTTGCTCCGCTCTTGATTTTCTTCTTATGGCTCATAAAACCCAATATGCTGGCTCTATTATACACTGATCTGCACATTAGCGTCTTCTTCTTTTTCTTCATCCTATCCAGTTTCCTTCTTGAGGCCATCCCTTCCTTGCCGCTCGGATCCCTCTGCTTCTCTCCATTTCCTTCTACACTTTCTGGATCTATCGAAGCGGATGTGCTCCCATCCCGTGACAACCCCTCTCTCTTTTTACCTTTTTTGACTAATAAATTTTGTCCGTGAAAGCTAATCCCCTGTTGTGCCTCCAGCTGGTCTTGCTTACTACTGCCAGTGGCCTCACAAACCCGGGTTTCCTCATTCAGGCCTCCAAAATTTTGTTGAGAGTGGGCTGGATGATGGTAGTTGGGCTTAGCCCATCCAGACCTTGCAGCATCTTTTGAGGCTTCAATTGGGTCTGAGCTAACCCAATTTTGCGACTCAATAGCTAGTGTTTCTTCTTCATCTCTGCTTCCCACGTCACTACCTGCTAAGCATTCCTCGAGACTATCTGCAACCACTTCAACTGACTCCTCTTCACCTATCCAGCTGTAATAAATCATATCCTTCTTTTTCTGACATACTTCATCATGCAAATCTCCTTCAAATTCAAAATATGCCTCAGAATCTGGAATGGCAGGCACCCGTTTGTCCTTCCCGATCTGGTCCGGAAAATCCCCTGCAGTGTTCCCGTCCCCGGTGCTTGAATCCCTGTTATCTTCACGACCATTCTCTCCTGGTTCTTCCTCTATATCCAAGCCTTTCGACCAAGATTCTTCATATTCAGAGTCACTCTTGATGCTTGGCAGAAAATCATATTTCATAGAGAAAAGGCTGTTAGACGCTTCCTCTTCCGTAAACATGAGATTGTAGAGGACTCCATTAACTTTGATCTGCCTTTTAACTGAGATTGATTCCATAATCGGCGTGGAGATTAGGATTCGAGCAACGTCAAACCTTCTTTTCTTGCTTGTGTTGTCATCCAAGCTGATAAATTTCCCCCATGCCGTCACCATAGACTCAAAAAAACTCTGGCCCCCATGCATGTAATGGTGCTCCCAGGCACCTTAGCCAAACAAACCTTTCCTTTGCTACCAATGATGGAGACCATGGCTTGACATCTGCGAACCATTGGCTTAACCAGCTAGCTGCACCTTGAACTAATTCTTTTAGCTCCTCCTTATCCTCATAGTCCAATAATACCATTTTGCCTCCCATAGCCCTTAGACGGCATGTGAAATAACCTTCCATGTAGAATCTTTCTTGGAGGATTGGAACTATTTCAACAGAGTGGGCTACTCCGACATAGCAGTCTCGAAGCCACTCGAAATCTTCTTCTTTAACATTGCACTCCATACCCACCCATGCTTCCCCTTCCTTCTTCTTTCTTCATGTTTGCTGGTTGTTCGCTTGTTTCAAACTGCCGCTGTGTGCATTGCAAACTTTACTTGGTTCAGTTGTCAATGGGTGTTCATCACCGACCCTTAAGTCCTCTTTATCCAGCCCTCTAACTGCTTCAGCATAGGATTTCCCCTTAACTACTTTATTTGGTGGAGCCAGGTTCCTACTCCCCTTCACCTCTAGAGCTTCCACTGGGTATTTAGCTAGATTCACCCAGATTTTGCTTCCGTCAATCCTTATCTGATCTAGCTGACTTTCGAGAACCTTTGCCTTCTTCACCTCTAGGAATCTTGTAAAGCCAAACCTTCTACCATTCGTAGATTTTTTGAGTGGACTATAAACTGCATATACTCTGCCATATTTTTCGAAAGTCTTCCACATCTCTGCATAGTTCCAGTCATCGGGGAAATTTGTAATACCCCAAAATTTTCTAGAATAAATAAGTGAGTTAGGGACTAAATTGTGGAAAAATATTATGTTGGGGCTTAATAGCAAAATTTTCAAAAGTTGAGGGACTTAAAAGGGAAAAGAATTTGGATAAGGATGGCTTCTTTTCTTTTTCTTTTTCATTCTTTCTTTCTTCTTCAGCCCGCGCGTCTGCTCTTCTTATCTTCCCGCTGCAACCCGAGAGAAAAAAAAAATGAGAACCCAGCCATGCCTTGGAAAACCAATGAGAAAGCTTGGATTTCTCCTTCTTTTCTTGTTCTATAACACATTTAGAACCCAGAAATTTCCCCCACCCCTCTACAGAATCCGGATCTGCTCTGCTCTGCTCTGTCTGGTTGCTGCTCTTGCCGATTGTGGGTGCAAATTCCTTTGAATTTTTGGTAAGCAACAGCCATTAATTCCTTTGTTCTTGCTTGAATTGGCTTGGGTTTACCTTAATTGCTCTTATTTCCTTCAATTTTTGGGTAACCCGTGAGCTTCCTTCTTCCATGCCGCCGGCCTTCCCCAAACTGCAGTCCGGTTTCTTTTCTTGCAAATTCTGGTATGTGGAAGCTTCTCTAAGTCTAGATTTACCCATTTAACTGCTGAAATTAGCCATCTAATTGCTGCCCTGTGTGTCCGAAATTCTAGATTAATTAGGAGAGAAATTTGATAGTAATTAGACCATGATTTAGCTTAATTCAAGTGAGATTTATGTGATTGAGTGTGAATTGATTGCTGTGATTTTTGGAGAGAAAATCCCGTGAATTAGCTAGTGTTTTGGCCAATTTTGGAAGTGCAGTTACTGGTCACGGCACTGTTCACATATTACTGTTCACACACCAAGGGCCAACAATTAACGGGATTTAAATGATTAGTTTGTAATATAAGAATAAATTTGGAGATGTCTGATCATGTGGAGATTGATAGAAATAGCATCGTGATTAGGGGTAGTCATGGTGATTTTACTTTTGAATCCGTGGTACGATAATTAATTCTTGGATATTTTGATTAGGTTCCTGATCATTCTGTCAATTTAGCATTGAGATCGAGGCTTCAGTTTTATGTGAGTGAGGTAAGTAAATTTATGGTAATGCCCGTACAGTTTTTTAAAAGCATGTTTTGATTTGTTTTTGAAGTGGTGGCGGGACTAAACCCGTTTTACACAAGTATGATCGATTGAAATGAAGTTTTTATGCTTTTCATTAAATTGAGCATGCTTACTTGAAATCTAATTGATTGTCTTGATGATTTGAAAGTGATTAGTGAATTGTGATTTTTCTGTTAACTTTAGCCTGTTTTGTCTCCGATATGGTCATGTTATTAGTGGCCTGCTAGTGGGAGGTTTATAAACGCTAGCACATGTCAACATGTTACTGATAGAACCGGTTCGTTTCTGTTATCCTGCTAGTGGGATTATACACTAGTAAATCGCGTGCCTGCTAGTGGGAGGTTTATAACATTGGCCATGACCTATAGAAGAGACGTCTATTTCGTTCTCGTACTATATCCTAGATTTTATGATGAGAAAACTGGGTTTTGGTGAAAAATGGAGAAGTTGGATACAAGAGTGCTTGAAATCGGCATCTATCTCTATACTGGTAAATGGGAGCCCATCAAAGCAGTTTAGAATGTCAAAAGGATTGAGACAGGGGGATCCTTTATCCCCATTCTTGTTTTCGATTGTGGCAGAAGGGCTGAATGGTTTAATTATGGAGGCAGTGAGAAAGGGCCTATTGGAAGGAATTCAAATAGGAGGAAATGAGATAAATATATCCCATCTACAGTTTGCCGACGACACTTTGTTAATGGGATTAGCAACGGAGGACAATATATGGGCGGTAAAATGTATCATGAGAAGTTTTGAGCTTTCATCTGAATTGAAGATCAACCATGCAAAGAGTCAATTAATGGGAGTCAATGTGGAGGAGGAATGGTTAGCAAAGATGGCATATTTGCTGAACTGTAAAAAGGGTGGAATACCATTCAAATATTTGGGTATTCGGGTGGGAGGGAACCCTCGAAGTAGAATATTCTGGAAGGAATTGATAGAGTCTTTTCACAAGCAGTTGTCAAGGTGGAAAGTCCAGCAACTATCTATGGGGGTCGGATTACTCTCATAAACTCTGTGCTATCTTCATTACCCGTATTCCAAATGTCAACTCATCTTCTTCCAAAAGGTACGCTGTCTATCTTGGATAAAATTAGAAGGCAATTCCTATGGGGGGGTTGGGAAGAGCATAAAAAAATAAATTGGGTTAAATGGGAGTCGGTATGTAGAAGAAAGGATGAAGGAGGGCTAGGTGTAAAGGACCTTAGGCATTTTGATGCAGCTCTAATGGGCAAGTGGTGGGCGAAACTGGCAGAGAACTCAAATTCCTTATGGTATAGAGTGATTAGAAGTACATATGGGAATCTGGGTGGAAATTGGATGAGCTGGGTAAAGGAGGGTAAGGGTAGAGGGTCAAAATGGTGGCAAGATAGTTGCAAACTAAATGATCTAATACCAGGGAGAGAAGGGTGGTTGGAAGATAATTTTAAGTTAAGTATAGGAAAAGGAAAGCGTGTGTCTTTTTGGCATGATAATTGGCTAGGAACAGGTCCTTTGTCTAACCTATATCCTAGGTTATTTGTATTATCAACAGGGAGGCATAATACTGTCAACCAGATGGGGACATGGATAAGCGGACAATGGTCATGGAGCCTACAATGGAGGCGAGAGTTGAGGACATGGGAAGCTGCAACAGAAGATGAGCTAAGAAGAATCCTTTCTAGAGTGCAACTCATACAAAGGAAAGAGGATAAATGGGAATGGAGCTTCGACACAAAAAATGGCTACCCTACAAATGTAACCTATAAGCTTCTAACATCACCCCACAATGGACTTCAATTGGAAATTTACAACAAAGTTTGGAATACAATGGTCCCGAGCAAGGTTAGTGCATTAGTTTGGCAATTGATTCAAAACAAATTGCCAACAAAAAGCGAGTTATTTAAGAGGGGGGTATTGAGGAGCTATAATGAGATTACATGTGACTTATGTGGAGAAGGGGAAGAAACAGCTACTCACTTGTTCCTACACTGCAAATATGCACATAAAATCTGGAGTATGTGTTTGAAGTGATGGGGAGTTCAATCATGCTGGCCAGGGAGTTGCTGGGATGCATTTCATTAGCATATGGGTTTCTTTCTAGATAAACAGACAAAAGAAGGGTGGGAGGTTATATGGTTTGCCTGTGTTTGGTCCATATGGTTGTCTAGAAACAATCGGATATTCAAGGAGAAAGAACTTGAGGCTACAAGGGTGTTTGAAGTTATCCAGATTAGATCTTGGGAATGGATAAAAGCTAAAAAAAAGGGTTGGGACAATTCTACTTACAGATTGGATGAGAGACCCAAAGGTATGTTTGAGATAAGGGTGGTAGAAAAGAAAAGGATGTGAATGCATAAGAATAGGAGTTTTGGGTTTAAATGAACATATTTTGAAAGTTGAGGGCCCAAATTGCAAGAAAGAAGGTGATACTTGTGGACCTAAATGAATGAATATTGAGTTTTGGGACCTAAATGTTCATTATACAAAATTTGGAGGACCAATTTTGCAATTCTACCAGTGAAGAAATTGCAAAAAAAAGACAGAAACCCGACACGGGTGTGGTGTCGACCCATAATTTTGGTGTCGACACCTTACGGCAAGCATCCAAAATCACAATTTCTGTTTCTTTTTCTGCGTTGATAAAGTGCAGGTTAAAGTTTTTTAACAACTTGGAAGTGCTCTTGGATTAATATATTAGAAAGGGCTGCTCTTGTAATTTTATGCCTTTTAAATTAAGATATTTATGGGTTTGGGTACCTTGTACTTCATTTTTAATAAATATTACTTTTACTGTTTTTTTTAAAAAAAAAGTGTTTTCAGTGAATGATTTGTGTTGAACAAGTGAGGGATACGGCTGGAAAAGAGACTATTTTATTTTATTTTTAGAATTGACCGTGTGTGGAGGGTGTAGGTTCAAAGGGTGAATCTATCATTATCTTATCTAAAAATAATTTGTTCCAATTAACATTGCCGGCCCCATCTAACTAGCAACAAATGAACTGGCGGCCGCCCAAGAGCCCGATCAGGGCTTCACTTCCACGTAACCGAACCGGCCAGCACCATAACAAGAACAAATTTTAAGGGCTGTTCCGCTAAAGAAACAATTTTATTGGGAAAAGTTTTATTAAAAAAATGGTTAGAAAAATATTATATAAAAAATTAATAAGTTTAGTAATAAAATTTTTTTAATTGTTGAATTGTTAAATTTTTAGTGTTTGACAAGAAATTAATATAGGAAAAGTTAATAAGAAAGTTTTTAAGTGAGTTTTTAAATAAAAAAAAGTTGATAGAAAACAATATTTTATCTTTAAAAAGTGTGAAAAATGAGGTTTACAAAATGAAAATTATGTTAGAGAAAATAAAAGTCAAAAATATTTGTTACAGTATTAAGGGAATAATATTTATCTACTTTATATCTTAAAAATTAAAAAAAAATTATTTCAAGATTATCTTTCAATAAATAACCATTAAAGATGACTAAAACACGATATTTTTAAAATATGAATTGAATTATTTTTTGTTTTTTAATAATATTTTATTAAAATAACGTTGTTTTAAAATAATTTTTTTTTAATTCACTTTTAAAGGTAA